TTGCTCACGTAATTCATATCACCTCCCTCACGAGACCACAGGGCGAATTCCCTCTCTCGCCTAGCTTGTAACCCCCCCTACTACGAGCACCCCGGTGCAAGGAATACAAGAACACCTTCTCAGACTGGACGTAGGGCATCCATTGCCCGAACCAGTATAAACCTTGTGTCTCTTTGCATCTCCATCCGGAATTGGGAGCACGCATCACAAATTCACTAGTCGGTTAAGGACCCCCGGTTCCGAAACACCGACAGCTAATATGGCCGGACTGCCGCTACAGGAGTACATCCGAGGACGGTATAAATGGCCATCCAGCCCGTGGCCCGTTGGCACAGCCCGAAGCACGGTATTTTGGCCCGACACGAGCACGGCATGGCCCGGTGTTGCGCGGGCCTAGGCTAGCACGGGCCGATGTGTAGGGCCGTGCTTGGGCCGCACCTTAGGCATGTGGGCTGGCACGACACGGCCTGTAAAATCGTCTAGGCCCGATAAAGGCCCGCAAGTATATATAAAGTGCTTCTAACTGTTAACCCTAATTCCCAATTTCCCACCTCTAGCCGCCGCACCCACGACTTGTGTCGACCCTCGCAGACTATAGCTCGTGACGCCCCCCTCCTTCCCTCGCGACAGCCACCCCTCCCCTTCCCCGAGGAACGCCGTGGCCGTCGAGAGCCTCGCCGCTCCTCATCTCCTCGAGCCGTCGCGAGGTCTTCCTCGAGCCGGCGCCGTCGCTATTCGTCTTCCTTCGTGCTAGCTCGTGTCGCCGCCTCCTCTTCCTCCTTTCTTGCCCCACCATAACGCCGGAGCGCCACAGACGTGGCCTCCTCCCTCGATGCCGGCGAGGCCAAGCTCTGGAAGTGGCGACTGTGAGGGCCTCGGGTCAGCCCGACACGCTGGATTGGTCGTGCTTCTAGGACCGGCCCGGCCCAAAAAAATGGCCCACGGTGTCGTGCCTGGGCCGAAGGCCAGGCCCGTGGCCCGAAGAGGCACGGCACGGGAGGCACGACGTGCCATGCCGACCCGACCTTCGGCGGGCCATGCCTGGCCTAGGCCCGTGTCGTGCCGGGCCGAGTCGTTGGCCATCTATAGAGGACGGACTCCTGGATCCGACCCGAAGATGGCATTTGGTTTCCTGGCCGGTAATGTTAACAGAAATCGTAACAGATGATGGAGGGAGTGGTGGGGACCAGTGATTTTCTGATTTTGGTTGGTTGCACTTGGTAAAGGTAATAACCCTGCATGCATGCAGATGACGGTCGGGGAGGGGCGGTTTCACAAATGAACGGATAGTTATCTGATTACGCGGTATCTTATAACGGACCATGCCGAACCAAGTGGCTGTATCGCCATCTAATCCCGAAAGTCACCGGATTGCGTTACATTTAGCGGAACCGAACGTGTCCATTAATGGTAACACTCGCGAGCCGCAAGTTGTGTGCACTACGTGGCAGATTAGCGTGCACCGTTTGCCCGAAAAAAATTGGGTGGAAACTGTATCCACCGGGCCTCCCTGCATACATGCTATAAATAGTTACTATGTATCCAATCTCACAGATCCAACGACATGCCTGGCAGAGTTCCTCGCAGACTCTGCATGCTCCGATCGAGGCCTCCCACGCCGCTGCTTTTCCACCACCGCCATGCGTTGTTGGATTCGTGAGAATGAACACGTGGCAACTATCGATGGCATGTATATAGCGAGGCGCGGTGGATACAGTTTTCACCCAATTTTTTTTCCGTTTGCCTGCGGCTTCGTTCGTTCCTGCAGGCGCAGCGCTCGGATATCCCTCTCGCCTCCGCCCCACATCTTTCCTTGACTCGAAGCCATTTCCAGTTCATCCATTAATTCATTATTCATCGTTTTTAGGTACTCTCTCCGTCCCAAAATAACTGTCGTCGTCAGTGCGTGTGCCGTAAGTTTGACTCGATTTGTAGAAAATACATGCAATATTTGTACCTCCAAAATAAATTTATTAAAAAACTAGATTTAAGGATATTTCCAATAAAACTAATTATGTACCATAAATATTAATATATTTAAATATATATTTAGTCAAAGTTATTTTTGAAACGAAAACGACAAATATTTGAGGACTGGTCGAAGAGGGAGTACTACGTAGAACAGAGAGAGGATTCTTACGATTAGGATTAGCGAGCATTTGGGCAGCGATATATATCAATTAAATAATAATTTATACAAATTATTCTCAGGGTTGGTAACGGAACCGCAAATCGATGGACTGCGAATGGGACGTGCGTGATTCTTTGCTTGGTACGACGGGAGTATACATGTCAGGCAGAGCCAGCTGGTCGTCGGCTCACCTCGAAACCACGACTTGGGATGAGCCGGCTGGCTGGGCCACCACCGCCTGAAGTAGTTGCGCGACCCGACCCGGGCTGGCCGTCGGGGTCGTCCTGGGTTGAAGTCTCGCAGAACCACCGGCGCGGAATCTCATCGGTTGGCTACTAGACGCCGACCTGTGGGCCCCCTGCATCTGACAACGCGGTTTTGCATGGACCTCCCGACGACCATTTCAAAAGGGCTCCGATCGGAGAGGATAGGTGCGTGGCTCATTTCTTCGCTTTTGCTCGCCACAAAAGCGCCTTTCTTTCTTTTGCGGTTTAGATGGTAGTACTCCTAGATAAATATGTATATACAAATATGGAAAAGTACTCAAATTTCATTGCTGTTCTTTTTTTTTCCGGAAATTACGACCCTAGATAACTAATGCGGTGTTCACACCTTGCCCCTTTATTTCCCCTCAGCAAAGCATCTTTCATTTCTACTGCGCCGTGACAGGGAGTACTAATACTAATACATTTCTGCTGCCGACTTTACCGATTAGGAGTACATTTTGGGTTAGTAGCAATTGACTGACTAGTGACTACTGTATGGTCTATCCGTACAAGGAGACTCGTGGAGACCTGTGCTTATCTTGGGCAACAAGGACCAGGAGTCTAGCTTCTGGCTCAGGTGTCTTGGCTGATAAGTCATGACTGAAAATATTATTGATTAATTTAGTGTAAAAAAAATACTATTTATTAGCTGAAAAAATACAACTTATAAGCCCAGCGACCCCATTCCTTTCTCATGTCTCTTGTACTTAGGCCCCGTTTAGTTCCGAAAATTTTTGGCTTTTGGCTACTGTAGCACTTTCGTTTGTATTTGACAAAAATTATCTAATTATGGACTATTTAGGCTTAAAAGATTCGTCTCACGATTTCTCGGCTAACTGTGTAATTAGTTTTTTTTCGTCTACGTTTAGTACTCCATGCATGTGTGGCAAGATTCGATGTGACGGGGAATCTTGAAAAATTTTGGATTTTGGGTTGCATCTAAACGGGGCCTTAGCCCTTGTTTAGTTCCACCCCAACTTCCAAAAAGTTGCTACAGTACCTGTCACATCGAATGTTTGCGGCCCGTGCATGGAGCATTAAATGTAGACGAAAAGAAAAACTAATTGCATAGTTTGGTGGGAAATTGCGAGACGAACGTTTTGAGCCTAATTAGTCCATATTTGAACACTATTTGCCAAATAAAAACGAACATGCTACAGTAACTCCAAAATCCAAATTTCTCCACCTAAACAAGGCCTTAACATCCGCCTATAAATTCTGAGGACGGAAGCTGGCTCTCGGTTTTCTGTGCAAGCGGCTGCAGTGACGCACGCGAAAAAGGCACATGCGGCGCCGGGGAGCCTTTCCGGACAGGAGATGACGATGAGCGTGGATCCAGCCAGAGCCACAGGGGGATACCTGGGGCCCGCACCGCAACGGCCGCAGCAGCCCGCAGCCCACCGGCATGGCCGCATGGGACGGGATGGCCAGCCGGCAGCGACCGCCGCAGGCGCGCCTGCGCGGGCCTCCACTGCAGCGACGCGGTTTCCGTAGGCCCCACTCCACCGTCCCTCTCCTTCGCTTTCCTCTTCCGCTCCTATCGCCATGCGCACCCTGCCCACTGCTTCTTCTTTTTTTGTTTCCGTCTCCTCTCCTTTCGTTGTTTTATGAACTATAATAGTACTAATACAGAGGCCTCAGTTGCTTCTGTTTTTTTTCGCCGTATTTTTTTTGGCAAACGTTAGTCCATTCATAGTACAGCATGTCAACATATTTGGTAGTATTTATGGCTTAATATACAGCTATTTTTTCTCCGAATTATAAATCCTATGGACGCTCTTACCTTGTTCAAAGATCATGTGCACCTACTCCTATATTCTACTCTACTCATCCTAATGAAACATAAAATATTTAAGCATTCAAACTTGTGTCATATTATAAGAGATTTTAGATAAATTAATCGTCAAACTCAATTTAGAAAAGATTAAATTTGCATACATAATTGAAGTGTCGAGTATGGCAATCACAATATCTCCCCTACAATTAAGAGATTTAAGAGATAGTTAAATACATCATTTGTTTTACCCGATAAAATATCCTAGGATTTGTAGGACATCTTGTATCTTGTATTCCATAAACAAGGAGGCAAGATATATTAGTGCCAATTTTGGCTCATTTGCCTCTCTCGTACTACTACCGTTTGGTGCTATTTTTCCAAAGGCTCTAGTAAAAATGATGGTGTACACAACCCGTGTGCTCCCACCATTTCGGCCTTACATCACTTGCTCCCACGCCTTGTTTAGATGCCATCTAAATTCCAAGTTTTTTCACTCTCTCTATTACATCAATTTTTAGCCGCTTGTATGGAGTATTAAATGTAGGTAAAAAAATAATTAATTACACAGTTTAGTTAGAAATCACGAGATGAATCTTTTGAGCCTAGTTGGTCCACGATTGGACAATATTTGACCAAATAAGACGAAAATAATATTATTCATTAGGTTCACTTTTTTTGCAAAGTGGACGAGGCCCGGTATAAATTCCCACCGCCGTCGCCCCCGCTACCCTCACCTTCCCCCCCACTACTCGCTCCCCTCGCCCCAATGCAATTCCAAGCTGCGATCTGTCGAGCACCTCTCCTCGCTTCGCCTCCCGTCCCTCCCATGGCAAACCGCTGCGCCGGCCTCGACCCCACCTGGGCCCACCTCCCCACCCCGGCGCCGACCCACTACAACTGCTCGTCCTCCCCCGCCTGGCTCACCTCCGCCGCCGCCTTCGAGAACGAGGCGCTCACCTCCGCCCTCCGCGCCTCCATGGCGCCCGCCCACGCCTACTCCGCCGCCGCCGCGTCCTTCTCCCAGGCCACCCCGTCCTCCTCGACGACCTCCTCCGCCTCCGAGCTCCTGTCCGCCTCCAGCGGCCACGACGCTCCTGCGCCGGCAGCGTCCAGCAGGCCCGGCGCCCGGGCCCTGGCGGGGGGACCTAGAGGGGGCCGCGTCACCAAGAACCGCAAGCCGCGGCCATCGCGGCGCCCGCAGACCACCTACATCACCGCCGACCCCGCCAACTTCTGCCGCATGGTGCAGGAGATCACCGGCCTCCCCGTCCCCGGCCCCTCCTCCTTCCCCACTGCCTCGGAGGCCGCCACCGTCGCGGCGCCCAACTGGACAGCCGCGCCCGCGTGCGTGCTCCCGACGCTGGACACGTCCGCTTTCCTGCTCGACCGCGCCGCCGCCGCGGTGCCGGCGCCGGAGGAAAAGAACCCGGCCGGCGGCGGGCAGGCGTCGACGACGACCGTGACGGACGCCGCCGCCGTGGCAGCTGCTGCGGCAGGGAACGACGACGACTCGTCGGCGCTGCTAGAGCTGGAGGCGCTGGTGTGCGGGGCGGCGGGCGAGTGCGGCTTCCCGACCCTGGAGAGCTGGGGGATGATCATCTGAGGAGTGGGCTTCAGGGATTAGAGATGGAAAGGTGGTTACTTACCACTGTAGCAGTGGTTTTGCTCTCTCTCTCTCTCTTTTTAGCTTGTTATTATAAATGGAGTTTTTGGTCCGTACGATGCGACGATCGGACGGCGGCCGTCGGTCGGTTGAGCCGACGCCGATGCCATGATGATGTAGCAAAGCATGGGGGGTTCATGTCCTGTAAGCAAGAATTATCAGCTAGGCTGCTATCTGCTTTTTTTAGTTGTAGAGTGCATCTCTGCTGGACGAGCATGACATGTGGTTGCCATGGTGCCTTCTAGTCTATTATGGAGATGACAATGTTAATTATTCTGTAATGAAATCTAGCTTGATCGTGTGTATGTGGCTTATAAGTCGGCTGATGTTGTTTTTTAGAGAAAAATACTATATCATAGCTGATAATAAGCTTAGTTGATACGATTAAGCGAGCAGAGTGCTAATGACTTTCCTGGAGCAAAGGAATCTGTTATGATGGCAAAAGGAAAAAAGAACCCCTACCCTAATGTGAACGAATGTATGTGTTCCTTTTACCTTTGAGCCTTTCAGTTTTTTTTTTCAGGAATCAGCAGGAGAGTTGCACGTAGCAGCCCCATGGTTTTGGTTGGTTTCGTGACACGGCGACACCTGCAGGCAGCAGCAGCCAAAAAAAAGACATACGTATTGGCAGCCATGAGACCATGCATACATACGGAGTATATGCATGCACACCACTAGCTTCTGCCTCCTCGTAGCTGTGCAAGTAGCGGCAAGAGGCTTTGACTGTTTGTCATTGTCAACACAAGTAGTACTAGTAGAGTACGGTACCCTGTGTGTGAACGCAACGGTGGGGACCGCACCGCACCAGGCCACCACAAGGTGTGTGAAGTGTGAACGCAGCGTCAGCAGCTCGCTGCGACGGCGACGCGTAAAATCACCAAACTGATGGACGCTGCACATTGCCTGTCTAAGCACAAGCATCAATTCATTAACCACTAGATAGGAACTCCTGGAACGAGTTCACGAGAACAAAAGGAAAAGGGAATGTGTTGAACATTTTCAGCTACAAACATCAAATTATTTTTACCTTCTTGGAACACACATGTGCAATTAAATGGAAAATGATTATGCTGGAGTAGTACTATAGTACTAGTGATCTTAGCTGCCATATTCCTGAAAGGAAACGAGAACATGAAATGGGAACAAAAATGGGAATTGATACATTATATGTTTTTGTATTATATGAACGTAAATGTTTCATGACGGGAATATGAATGTTGTCAAAAACGAGGAATGTGGTCATGTTCCATGTTTCTGGGCTGCTAAGCTAGTGATCCGTCCCTCAAAAAAATGCAATTTTAGAATAGTGCTTAGTCAAGTTATCTTAAATTTGACTAATAAATTTATTAAAAAAGGCATTAATTTTCATACCCAGAGCTAATAACAAGTAACATAGGGCGAAGAGAGTAGGCTGGGTTCCTGACTGAACCTAAACATTGTCAGATGTACAGCTGAAATCTATTGCTATTTCCCGCTTTGCTATGAACAATAGCAACACTGCAACCATGTAGCTGTCCCCGAAACGTACGTGAATTACAGCCATTTATTCAACAGTCACTTCTTTTCGTCAGCAAAAAATCAGGGATCAAGCACAAGCTCATGATACAAAAATTGTTCAGAACTATACGTGTTACAAAGTAGCATCAGGATCTGGACAACAATATGCACATCGGTTTGGACGTCATCAGTATATATATGTACTAATGTACCATGAAAGGCTCTACGTATCTCCCTTCTGCGTCTTTCTGACCTTCTCATGGCATCCTCAAATGATTTATGCACAGTAAGAAATGCACCCATTTATTTCACTGCATCGGGCATAGTATGCAACAATAGAGCGTGAGATCATACACTATCCCGCAACAGTTACATGTACAGATTGTCTTTCCATATAGATCTTGCTTTTCTAATCACTCAATTATTTCAAGGCTTACCATCTAACTGCTTATTCAACATGTCAGAACCGGAATATCAGTACACTGTTCATAGAGGGTTTTATTGTTAATACATCTACAAGGACTTTTTATTTTACTTTTCAGGATCCTAAGGTAGGATATAGTCATATCATATTCAATATTCGCATTTAGTGATAAGTAAATTCTAGCTCTTACAATCATAAGCGGCAAGCGCACCAGAATTTGCAATATCTTGATGATTGCCATAAAGTCTCCTCAAGTTAAGCCCCTTACATAGGTAACCATGCTGATGCAATCTCAAGTAGCTAGTTAGGACTTTGTGCAGACTACATAGTACCTAAAGCCCACCACTCAGCATATGCAAAAAAGAAAAGAGGGCTACCAATTATAATAGTAATACTATAATGAGAAATTGACGTCAAATCTAAAAAGGAGCAGAGGACAGTTACAAAGTTTTGAATCATTTTACTGTCTACCATGCAACAGATCATGATCTGCGCCTCTGTGGGGCTCACTACTAGCAAAGTGTGAACATGTGAATCACATAAGAATGAATAAACCGCATGTTATCAAATAATGATCTTCCTAAAGTACAATGCAAGAATCTTATGTTCGCGGCTCTACTCATCTAGTTTCACATTTTAATTTTATTATATTAAAAGCCAAGATTTTCCTTAAACGAACAGTGAGCAACATTTGAAGAGCTGAGCCTATGCCATAGTTTTAAATAAAGTATCAATAACAATGGGAGGTAGTGGGAACACAAACCTAGGGCATTGTAATGTTTTTATTTATATAACTAACCAACCTGTCAGGAAAAAAGAGAAAATATTCCTGTTACACATTAGAATTTTAGATATGACCAAAAAGAGGGTGTACCCAGTCCTCAAAGCTCCCACAAGGTGCAAATCATATAATCTACTGTTTTTGGTTTGCTTAGATTCAGCTTCACTCTTGGGTTGTAATATGACAACATCAACAGCAGAAGGCCGCATCGATCAAACAAGTCATTTCACCGGTCCATTTCTTTTCTACAACTTGCCAAAGCAAAATGAGTGAACTTTATAATTTTTCTTCTAATCACACCTCCCTCCACATTGTTTTTTCATGAAGGAGCAGGACCCTTTTATCATTAACAAACCAATCAAGAGCTGATTTCTTGGCTATCGCCCATCACCCATTAGCACATGGCATAACCTCACAAGGACCAAAAATTACAAATTAGCTACTCAATTTATAAGTTCAACAGCTTATACCAATTGGCGGTTAATAAAATTCATACTGACAAATAGGCATTATACCAAGGGAATAAATCTGATTATTTGAATATTGTGAAAATTAATGAAGGAACACAATGGGACACACTTACCCCGGAGTTATTCATCTTCCAATTTTCTAAAATACTCCCATCAAGAAAAGCTGCCCCAGATAGCAGTACACTGCAATACATAGTTATCGATAAGAGTTTTCAACAGGAGTATCAGATTTAAAATACTAAGATCACCATAACTATAATAGTTCGTAGAAAGCAAAAACACTACACTGAACAACACTAATTTGCAACACCCAGCAAGTGTTTACTGAAACTTGTAACAACCATAGTAATAGTCTTTCTCCAGTTTTCTTATGGAACTGGCCAAACTCTGCATTACATTTGACCGAACACAAATGCTCAATGGAAACAACAATAGCCTGCAACCATAGTAAGCCACATTTGCATATTTGGCTCCATTGTGAACTCCCTAGATCAGGAACTGTCTTGTGTGCTTAGTAAACAATCCGGGCTGGCGCTCATCAAAAGAACAACGTAACTAAGCAAACCTACAGACGAACCCCTCTTGCAAATGTTGCAAGCAACTAACCAATGGACATTCCCGGAAGCCCCTTTTTGCACGGCGGAAATAATAGCGAATGATAGACGAAAACTTTCGAGATCGACGCCTGTTTGGCTTACCTGGCGAATCCCAGATTGATAAGGAAGCCTCGCCGAGTGACTGCCTTCAGCAAGAATTCCCAATCAATTGACCCCACCGAGGCGCCAGCACCCGCTGTCCCCGGAGGCGTCCGTCGCCACGAACCGCCGCCATGGCCGTACCCATACCCGTACCCGTAGGAAGCCGACGAGGAGGCCCAACCAGAGGAGGAGGTACGCGCGTAGGAAGACGTGGAACCGCGAAGGCGGAGGCCGTACTCGGCGCGGCGTCTGTCGTCGGAGAGGACGTGGTACGCGTCAGACGCCTGGCGAAACCGGCGCGCGGCGTCAGCACGGGCGGCCGCGTCGGTGGAGCCGGCGTGGCGGTCAGGGTGGTCGCGGAGCGCGCTGCGGCGGAAGGCAGCCTTGACCTCAGCCTTGGTGGCGTCTCGGCGGATTCCCAGCGTCTGGTAGTGGTCGCCCATCGCCCGCCTGCGCCAAGGCGATCGGATTTCGGTCGCTGGATCGCAGGAGGAAAGGCGAATGAGGAGTAGGGAGCTGGGGGTCTCGGGAGACGAAAGGGATCGGCGGCGTCGTGGCCGCTCTGCCTGCCGCGCGTTCTTCCCCGGCCCGTCTCGGCTCTTTGTAGTATACTGGGCCGAATTTGCGCTAAGCCCACTGAACCTAAGCTTTCACCTTCTGCCAACAGTCAAAACACCATTTGGTTAATTGGATTTCACTTTTACACCCAATATAAACAGACTTTTATTTTGAAAAACAAAATGGATGGAAAGGAAAAGAACTAAGAAAACGAAATTTCAACAAACAATTTATTGCGTCCAAAGGTAGGAGGGTAAACATTTGAGAATGCCAAAAAAGAGGCCACTATTATCACAACGGTACAAACTTCACGCTGTTTGACAATTTATTGCGCAATATATTCACTTTTTTTTTTGACAAGGCAATATATTCACTTGATCAGATGATATGTATACCCAGCAAAACCAGAGCGGCAGCTTAAGTCGATAATCAGATTGTATACAGCATCCATAGTGCGGGACGGTTAGGGGGACAACAAACATATGAAACTTCAGTATCTAGGCATCTAGAGAGACACGAGTTTCCGGTGCACATGCTCGTGGAGAGAGTGCTCATCACCATCGTGATGATGGAACACATATGTTAAGACTCCAACAAGGCACAGCACCGTGCCGACAAGGATCTTGTCATAGCGCTCAACCCAGTGGAACTTGATTTGGCTAGCACCATAGAATGAAAGGGCCACCAAGGATGTCATCACTGTGATGGTGCTGCAGGAAGAAACGAAATGGATGAGAAAAGAAGAATCGCTGTAAGAAGCATCTTTCTCGTACTTCATGAAACTACTATCACATTCAAAACAAAGCACCTAGAAAAAATGAAGGATTTGAATGACAGCTAACAATACTTACCCGTACAAACCATGGTTGAACAAAAGTGTGAATTAGTCCACAGATAAAAATTTTTTGAGTGCTGCACTAATAAAGCTGCCACTCATTTTAACATGAGCACATGATGATAACTAGTGATCCCGTCAAACACTGTCTAGATTGGTTCCCTCAGTCAATTGACTCCTACTGTACATATGTGCTACAACAAAATGATGACTAAAAAGAAGCAAGAGAAATATCTCAAAAGGAAGATCTTGAAAACTGAAAGAAACGAGATTATGAGTTCATGCTTAGCAAATGCATCGGTATATTATTCGTCTCAGTGTGCTCCAAGTATCAGCTAAGGTAACACAAAGTGCTCATAGGTCCTAACAGAGTAAATCCTGCTGCTAAGAAACTTCTAAGAGGGGAGGAGGACATAGGTAATCCTGATGATCATGGGTCAGCAATGCTACTTTTTTGCTTCATTAATTTAGATAGGGATAAAAACATCTTGCCATAATTTAAATCTTTTTTCAACTTTAGTGAGTTAACAAACCCCGTAAAAGAAAGGACATGATAGTACAATTGTAATTGGTAGTGCCACAAGTAAAATAACAAAAGGGAAATCAGTGGAGTGAAAGGGGGTGAAGACCTGAAGAGGAGCACAATGATCGCAAGAATCATCATTGAGGAAGAGTTGCCAACAGCAAGAAAAACTGGAAGAGTTGTTGCACAGGGTGATAATGCAGGTACAAGTACAAGACCAGCGACTGCCATCTTTTCCATTGGATGATTATGAGCATGGCTATGACCACCTTTTCCTAAGGCAAACAACAAGATATAACTTCCTCCAAGAAAAATCAGCAACAGCGAGGCAAGTTTATGCACTGTTTCTTCGCCAGCTATAGTATTTGCCATAGTAACTGCAGTTATCCCGAGAAGAGCCGTAGAAACAACATGAAGAACACCTCCAAATGCAGCTGCAGAAGTTAGCAATCTTTTTTAGAAGAAACATATAGAAAGAAGGGCATCATTTCAAAAATAACAATGTCCTAGTCACTAAATCACAGAAAATACAAGAATGAAGAATATGAAATTGCAAGTTCTTAGAGCATCTCCAAGAGTACCCAATATTTTCTTCCCAAAAACATGGAGTTTTATAACTCCTAAAAAAGTATTGGAAGGAATAAAGAAGACCATCTCCATATTCTCCAAGAGTTTCTAATAATCCACTCCTAAAATATAGAAGGCAATTTTACATCAGGAATCCTATACTATTTCTAATTTATCCTAACCACTTTTATATATTCTTTCTCTCTTGTACATTTGCATCAGGAACCCTTTCCTACTCTTTATTCTTTTCACGCCCTTCCACCTTTAGATTGGCCAACAAACACGTGCGGGGAGAGAAGATACACGCGACTCGGAAGTTACGTGGAGCAGGGTGACTTTTCCCAAGATCTAAAAGATTAGGAAGATGGATTAGGAGTTGATGGAGAGGGTTTTTTTCTCATCTTACTAAAAACAAGGATTAGGAAGGGATTTAGGGAACTCTTGGAGATGCTCAATGCTACCCAGGATGAAGCAAACAGGGTGAACCAAAACAGTGGAACCAAGATGAGATAAAACATAGATGTAGTGCATGAATCATTTAACTCATCATTAATTCTTAAGAGATCACGACAAATATGATGCAATTAGTACACTGGCAGATTAGATCACATCTATAACTTTTCTCTTAGAAGCTGCTACAGCCTAATTCAGAACCAATTTTAGGCATGTGCTGGCAACTGGTCTAAACAAAGCTTTGTCAACTTGCTTGCCCAAACTTGGCTCGTGGATAGAACACATGACATTACTTGCATTACTAAGAAACACTGCAACAACAGCCATCTGTCACAATCACCGCAAACGGATGTACATATGAAATCAGCACAAGTCGGAAGAAGGCATGACACACTTTCCCTAGAAAATTGTGTTCCCTGAACCGTGGAACAATATTCCACCAAGAAAGGAAGGTAACAGAAGCACATATGCAGTCTACTATCTCCATACCAATCCGTCCACGCAGAAAATCAGAACATGGGGATTAGGGAGCATGGGCACCTGAACATGCTACCATTGCCCATGCAATCTCATTCGGATGTTCAGGCAGCACTCAGCATATGCCATACGCACTAGGCAGCAGCCAGGCACCACCACACTACCATGGCACAAAAACTGCCATCGTTTGTTAATGCCACGATGCACAACCGGATCCAACCAAGGGAACCAACCACCGAGAGCAGCCCAACCTGATTATAAAACCCTAATGGCCCTCTCTTGCACGACCAATTGGGCGCTAGCCTTCGCCCACCCACGTCAAACTATGCACCAGATCTGGAGGCGGTAAACAGTGACGAGCCGCAATCGCAGCAAGCGGGGAAAACGAGGCACGGGGGGAAGGAAGGGGAGGGGAGGGGAGGTGGGTACTGACTGACGAGGAGGGTGCGGGAGAGAGGCCAGTGCTGCGCGCGCGCGACGATGGAGAAGGGGAGCCAGTGCGTGGGGATGAAGGAGTGCAGCAGCGACACCGTGGCGATGCCCCCGATCGTCGACGCCTCCTCCGCGGTCCACCGGAAGCCGCCCAGCCCCCCGCCGCCGCCACCGTCCATCCCCTGCTCAATCTGGTCAGCTGCGCGCCACCGCCGCCGCCGAGACGCGACGAGACGCAGTCCCCTAGGCGCCCCGACGGGACGGTTGGGGAGCGGGAGATCTGTGAAGGGACGGGAGCAAAGGACAAGGAGGACCAGAGGCAGAGGGGAGAATCAAGAATGGGTGAGAGGTGGGAAGAAAGCGAGGGGAGTTGGAGTGCGAAGCGTGCGAAAGCGGTCCGGCCCCAACTGCGCAGGCCGGGGTCCCGTTCCGGCTAGACCGCTAGACGACGAGACGGTGTGCTGGGGTCCGCCGTGTTCAGCCCAGCCCAGCCCAGTATTTCTCGTCCTGTACTTCAGTATTTGCGCCTAGTACATTGAAGCGCGTGATACAAGTACACTGTGCAGATACGGATATACTCCATTTTCAAATCAAATTCTTCGTGAAACATGTTTTGTGTTTATTATTTGAACCGCGTTTTGCAAGTGGAAACCGTTGTTTAGATCCTAAATGGTGCATTAAATAGTTTGACTATTTACAATAAAAAACGGCCTAAAAAACCAAAACAAAACAAAGCATCTTAATATGTGAGACTTGAGAGGGAGTGGGATTTTTTACGGATTTGTTTCAAAGAGGCTCTAGGTTGTGAAAGGAATCTTGGTAGCTTTTAGGAAGTTTTTGAATACCGAATCCCTTTACAGACTAGAGATTATTAAACACCCCCCCCCACCCACCCACCCACACACACACCCCCACCCCAAAATAAATGCTCATCACGCACTTTGAGAAGTCAAACAATATTAAATTTGACTAAATATATACACAAAAATAATAATGCATATGTTACCAAATACATATCGTTAGATTAATTACACCATATATTTTTATAATAAACCTATTTAGAGATATAAATGCTAAGACTATTTTTAATAAATCTAGTCAAACATTAGATTGGTTGACTCCTTGTATGAGATAAGCACTTATTTTGGGATAGAGGGAGTATCGTATAAAATTCTCTATGTTTTCAACTATTTTTGTGGACCGTGTGGAATATCTGAAATAAAATGGGGATAGAGAAGAAGTTTGCACGATCATCTAATGAAATTTTCCACAAAATACTTTTTTGTTTCCTACAGAAATGGCAGTGATTGTTGGAGAAGGGTGATGTCAGATACTTGAATGACAAGATCAATTCAATGAGAAGCTTGCTGGAAATCTTGTGAAAGTGAACTAAGAACCTGGAAGTAGAGAAGGGCTTTTGTAAGAGTTTCGATATAGCGATTAGCACTTCTTTGTGTTTGCGTCATTGTTTCAGCTTTGTTCTCTGGTTTGAACCAGGAGGGTAAATTTTCTCTGTAAGTTGGCAACCCTAGCGGTGATGTTGGTGTTTTTAAATTGTGTAAACACTTATATGCATTCTACGAAAACAGAGCTTTCTTCCGAAAAAAAATTATATATTTAGTGGTACTATACCTAATCGCTTAGATCATTTAACTCTTTTTAAACACCGTCAAAATCGTCTAAGAGCAACTCCAAAAGATTATGTAAAATAAGTGTCTAAAATCCATGGTTTAGTCATTCTCTAAAATAGAACATCCTCCATAAGAGAAAAAAAAGTAGAGTAATGCAACGGCCTTTCTAAATTTCTTATTTTCTACTTTTTAAAGCTGACATGTCATGCTGAGATTGGTTCGCTTCTCTGTTTCCGGTACTCCATCCATTTGCTAGCACACCACCATGCAGATGGTGAGCCTTCGCGGCTTGCTATTTTTACCCAACGAGAAGTGCGGGATGGATGATTTGTTATTTTGAAAAACATAATAGAATACCTATTGGAGCCGTGATTCTTCCAAAAATACCTAAAATATGATTTCACAACTCAAATGGCTACTCTCTTGTAACAAAGGGTAACTGATCGTTTACTATTTAGGATTTAGGATAATATTGCTTGGAACAAAGCTAAAACAAACTATAAACATAATCGAAAGTGATTGTAGCAGCCACTCATCACTGACATAGTTGCACAGGCACTAACCAAACAGTAGCAACCTATTCTTCATATAACATTTTTCTACGTCCTATTTCTTCTGTCTCTCCATAACATTTTCCTGCCTCCTCCTCAACCAAAGGAATCTGTCTTCCATTTAAAAAACGGAAAACACAAAAAACACACATAAAAAGCATGCATACAGAAACAAATGCAAAATATAGGCCTGTCGACATGCATGTCGATGTACCTACATTAGTCAATGCTAAAGTTTTCCATTTTGGTGTTAGAAATTTTTCAACCACAACCGAATTCGTAAATCCAGACAAAAAAATTTCAAGACTTAAAGATAAAGTATGATTTCCCAAAAAAATTAGATGTAAATAGCATGATTTATTACTACACATCTATTGAGTAGAATAATATACAACATAGATAATAGAAAAATGAGTCTAGAGTTATATATTACAATAAGGTGCATGTATTACTGTAATATGAAATTTCAGTTACATCTACACATTATAATAATATGTAGATGTAAGAAAGTTTATAAATTATGGTACAAAATCTTTAATGAGACCGACATCACAAAACATGTAGGGCACTCATGCTATTCTATGAGCACCTTCAAAAGAGGACTAAACCGACATATCATGAAATTGATAAAGTCACTGTAGACCAGAATTGAATCCAAGTAATAATAAGTAAGAGCACAAGCCACCACTCTTTTACAAGGCCTTCACACAACAATACTTAGTGTATCTTCAATCATTTTTTTTCTCTTGGAGCCCATCTCTGTCACATGCGTCTCACAATTGATGGACACACTATTTACCACTAAAAAATGGCGTTATTAAATCTTAAATAAATCTAAAAAAAGATAAGTGTCAGTGTCAAGTCAAGATTTTTAGCTAAGGTGGGCAAGCCCCATTTTCACCATAAGAAACGTAACCGCACACAAACATGATATATTGTTCCATAAAAGAAAACACATTAAAGCTTCTGGTCCAAACATATATCTACCCTTGTAGAGATTAGAGAAGGTTTGCATGCATCGATGATTTTCTTTTTCTCTTTTTGGATAAAGACATCGGATGATGTTGAGTTCAGCAGGGGCCCCCAATATTTGAGAAACCAAAGGGGTCGCTCCACAAATTTAAACTGGACGTGTCACCTGCTCACTGCTCTCGTCCATCAAAACCATTAATTATTTTCCTTGCACAAATAAATACTCAACGGATTACTGATATACGCACGTTAGTTAAAAAGAATGTGTCAAGAAAGCGACGAGTCCTTATATAATAAAGAAAAAAACAACGAGTCAAGAGACCCTTAAATAAAAAAAAACAAATGCTACCCGAAGCGGACGCATCTACTCCGTATATCCATACATTTATTTACACTCTGCCAAAGTTTTTCTTATTTTTATTATAAAAAAACTGCTCTAGGTAATGACAAGCGTTTGATCCCCAGTTGCAGGTTGCAGCAAGGCCCAAAGATTGCCTACAATCTCAAACACCGGAAGCAGATGGTTGGATCCTGCCATCCTGGCCGTTGATACTAACGGTGGAAACGGCGCGCGGTGATCGCATCAGCCATGGGACCATCTAGCTTGTGTTTGCCGCCTTCTTGCTGTCGCTGCAACTTTTGTTACTTGTAGGTTTCTTGGCGCTCCAACCCAGGAATCCAATCGCAAGCGAGCAACTGACAGCAGAGTCAGATTTGGAACTATTGTCGGATAGACCTCGGCAAATGTCATTTTCATGGTGTCGTATTTGCATCGTAGAAAACTCACTCCGTATTTAAATACACACATACATGTCATCATTTACCTTTTGCACGATGTTCAACTATTTGTCTAGTTGAAAAATATTGTAGATATGTTTTTTCTTATTAGTGTAAATATGCAATCATTGACTATTTGTATCTTTATTTAATACTTAAAGACTTTTGCTATTTATCTATTGACATTTTTTTTTTACTAAATCTGTCAGATTTCTATACGTTTGATTGAGCTTTAGGATTTGTGCTTTAACTGACAGATTAGATCACATAAAATATGTTGACAGATAACTAAACACTCCCATAATAAAAAACATGGTCTGATCAAATCCACCATGAAGCATGCCCTGATAATTAATTTATTTGATGTTGTAGAGCTACTTGTGCCATTGGCTATTCAATGCCTCCTAATTAAATAAATAAATGGATGAATACATAAGTAAGGGTAACTATGTGGATAAGCAATCTCTCCACACCATTTTTATGTAAAATTCTCAGCTACCTCAAACAAACGAATAGCACTTTTTGAATCCACTTATAAACCTCTTAGCTCTATTCATTTTTTTTTTTGCAAAAACTTCTGCATTTATATGATGTTTAAATGTACATAAAAAATTATAAAAACATGCTCGTACTACGGAATATTTCAACAGCTATATGATCCAAAAACTAACACTCTCAGAAACCCTCGGAAAAGTCTCCATCGACCCCTCCCATTGCTGAAAATCCCACTGCTGCCCCAATCCCTGAACCCCACAGAAGAAAACTCTCGACCCCCCAAAAGTCCTCAGCTCCCCACCTCCGCTTTTGATCTCGCCGGCGCCGGCCCAAATCCGCCGACGACGATGCCTCTGCCTCTGGCGCACTAGGTCCACACCTCCGCCCCCACGATGGCGTCCGAGCGCCCGCTCCTCATCGCCACAACCCCGGGCGCCTCCACCCCCGACGACGCCCCCTCGCCGCATCCCCCAGCGGCGTCACTGCTCCCGCCGGCCCAGTCGGAGCCTCCTCTCCGCGCGGACCGTCTCGCCTTCTCCGTCGAGGTCCCCGACCCATTCCGCCCCCCCTACCGCCGTGGCGACGGACCCCCCGACGACCCATCCGCGTCGTCGCAGCGGGAGCGCGAGGGCGGGGACGATGAGTCCCGAGGGGTCATCGTGGGAGAGCCCTCACCGGAGTTCGCCGGGAACGCCATCCGAACGGCGAAGTACTCGTTCCTCACCTTTCTACCGCGGAACCTCTTCGAACAGT